TAAATTGCCAACAACATCGAAGTACCGCATGCTTCAAACAGCAGAGGCTATTGCAATTCGCGTGAAAAAACCAGTGCTTTGTGTGCACAAGAATCAAGTCCAGCCAGTACTACTGCCCTGGCCTTCATTAAAAGACTAGAAATTCATAAATTTACATTCTTATCTTTTCTAATTTTTCTGACATTCAGTTTATTGTTATGTTGATGCTATTGAACTGTAATCTATTGATATTATTGATTCGCGGTTATTTAAACATTACTGTTGATCATAACACTAATTCATTCATTTACTATAATGTGTATATATATAACTGTAGAGCATGATAATGAAGTTATCGGAAAGGGTATTCTTTGTTCAGTATCCATTCTTTTGAAAATTTTAATGGGCATTTTTATTCAGAAAAAACCTCCATAAACAGTCAAACTGTATGACATGTAATGGCCTCTAATTAAACTGGAGGAGCAATATGATCCTCCTCTAAATCTTATATATGATCACTAGGTAAAACTGTGATGCAATACAGTCCTACAGTAAGTTAATTGTGAGCCCGAATAGCTCAGTGGCAATGTTTCTGACTTGTAGTACTGGGTGATACTGGTTCAAACCTCATAAGGGACATGAGTTCCTTCAAAATTGCAGATACACCTTGCTGACTGGTGAGTGCCAGCGAGCACGAAACCTAGGCTTCCTGTAGATTGCCTCTAACCACCTAATAACAACAATCCTGAGTATACCGTAATGGTGAGCCACCTAGAATGGTGGCCACATTGAAAACTTGACGGATACAATTCACTCTTCAGTAAACAAAGGACTAGACACATCACACTAGTTAGTGTCCAATCAAAAGTATACGATCCATACCTTTCAGAATGTATTTCGATAGTATTCATAATATAATATTAAGTGAAATGATGGTATACTCTGCTAATTGATAAATGAGATGTTGAAAACCACTCACATAAACCAGTAGTCCTTGCTAACCAGACTGAAAGGATCTAGACACCAGCATAATGGTTCGTTCGTTTGGAGTCGAGCTCATCAGTGATGTGTCTGACAGTTCAAATTACCCAAATTCTGGTTAGCCACTTGGATGAACTGGTAATCTATAGAATTAAATTTGTCAGGTGTAAATTACATAAGTGTCGGTGTAAGTTTCCTAAAGTTTCCTTTGGAAACCAATATGTGATCACCTTGATTTGGTTAGAAAGCACTACAGTTTGATATGAATGATTTCCAACAGCGTACTTAAGACCTGAAGTAGACTGTATGAGATAAACACTGCATTTTACATACTTCAACAAACTGTGAACCCTTATTATGCTTACAATATAAAAAGAATAAAAACACAGTACAGAGAACCTTGAAGGTAAACAAAAAATACCTAGCAAATAACCAGGTCTTTAACCCATCATTTCACTAAAAACTGTCTAGCAGAGTTTCATTATAGAACTCTGCACAGAAGTATAACAGTTAAAGTTGCCACACTCCACGTAGCAACTAGAATAGAGCGGAGTTACTGGTTCTTAGTATCGCGAGGACTCTAACCAGGTAGTGTCTATACCTCCCTATATGGCATAAACTAGCAGTTGGCGAATTTATAGACTGATGCCAAGTTTCGGTGTGAATATTCCTAACGCCTTACCAACCTAGTCTTTTATCAGTTAACAGTCCCTACTGAGAGCACTCAGAGTGCCATTAAATTCTCTGGTTTTCAAAACTGAGTAAAATGAATGGCGAACACCAACTTATTTAATGCTGTCTTGTAAAATCAAGAATTTATGGAAACTTCAAACTACTAACAGCTGTATTCTGATGTTATCCGATAAGCTGTAAAGTATCTATTTTGCGTAACTGAAGAAGCTTATGGTTTGAAGTACACATGCGAAGAAGGACGTTTAGACTGCATGTCTTCCTTCAGTGTTGACTTCATGAACAAAGATTTGATGTTTAACCTCCCTCTCCACCTAACTGTATTACTTTTTAATACTTTCATCGTATCTCTGAGTATCGTGTGATTACAAGGAAATGGATGCATTGCAGTGGCCGAGCTTTTTACTGTGTGGTGAGAGCTGGCTGCTAGCCAAAGTTGGTAGACAGAAATTGACGTCAATGTTTATGTCCCCAATATTCGTGGTGAGAAAATGAGAAGAAAGGCTTTGCGTAGGCGGATACAGTTAGCATATGAATGATCTGACACAGCCACAAAAAGATTGCAAGGTTAACTTTCTGTGAGAAACAACCAATCAAAAGACTGCATTTCCTACTAACGATAATCGACAATAATGTACATTAAAATCTATAAATATGTGTTGATTTTCCTTAATAAACGATCTGTTGCCTGGCCCTTGTCTTCTGTTGTTAAAACTGGATTATTCAGCTTAGCAACGTCAATCGTTCTAGATCCAGCTAAATTCTCATATCCCGATAATCTAACCGACCTCGATCTACTAGACTGACCTATATAATTATCCTCACAGTAGCTACATGGTGTTTAGTAAGTGATCTTATTTTTCTTAATTGGGCCTATCGGGTCCTCACGCTGACAAAATTTGTCTTTGAGTGAGTTGTTTGTTTTAGAGTTAGTAACTGCAGCCTTACTAAGAATTCTATGTAGTTCCCTTAATCATAATAATAGCTTTATTCTGCTCAATAAGTTTACACAATATGCACAATTTTCAGCGTAGTTAATTGCGTAGTTTTTTTCTCCTCACCCAGGTTTCTCAAGTAAAACAGCCATCTCCAGTTCATCATGTGACGCAATACTGTTCGATCTGAAGGACAAAAATTATCCTCTATGGTATTTTTCTTTGTTACCCCAGAAATGCTCAACGAAAGGTTGCATACCAATTAAAAGTGTGCATGAGTAAGTTTGGTAACCCATGGACATAATTCAAGGATTTAAAAAAAATAAGATGCACTTTCTCAGATGGAAATTTAGGCAGCTCAGGGATTCAAGCAGGCCGCCTTTCCTTTACATGGTAAAATATGTTTAGCAAGAAACTGTGTTTAAAATTTCACTCGGTTGATAATCTTGTATCCCTGTGTGTTATTTCAAATAAGCTTATCTAATAGGAAGTCATATTCTACCGAAGTGGTTAAATCCTACTCTGACATTATTGTTTGGTGTTTTATGAGCTCTGACACTTATTAGCAGACATTTCATTTCCATAAAGAAAATCAAAACAATTGATTCAGTGAAGAGACTCTTTTCAACGAATTTACTATCAAGGTGTACAATCGTATATAATTGTAATTTGATGGTTGCCATCAAGTGATGAAATTCACACTCGAAATGAAGAACGAGTCTAGTATTTATTTCCTCAATGTGAACTTATCAAGGAGGACCGATGGAACTCTGAAGAGATCGATTTATCGAAAGGTGTCATGGAATAGTTAACTGACAGATTTCTACAGCTTGGTACCTATTGGTCAAAAACGAACCCTGGTCCTGTCGTTTGCCATTCGCATTCAGCGCATATTTAGCCCTGATACTGTGGAGGATGAGTCAAATCTTTTGAGGAAATCCTAATGGAAAATGGATTTCCACCTAGTTTTATAGACAAGAATACACATTCAAATCCTATGAAACGTGACTTATCATCCGCACCCAAGAATTGAAAGGTAACTTAGCTTCCGATATCATGAAAAGAAGGATATCACAGTCCCTGAAAACAACATTGTCTGCTGCATCTCTGAGAATAGCCTTTACTAGTCGACCATTACTGTTCAATTACCTGAAGGACAAGATCCTGCTGTTGACCAACTCTTAGTATGTTTATCAATTTACCTGCTCGTATGGAGCTAGGTATTTTGGTCGGTCGACTCGAGTTTTGTCCAAGAGGGTGCAAGAACACTATCCTGCATGGTTACGAAGAGGTGGAAGTGGAGCGATAAGAAACGCGATCATTGAAAATCTGGTCGATAATGATCACCCTATCTCTATAGCCTCCACCTTTAAAGTCATCTACAAGGCAAAAAGTAATTTACCGAAATACTAAGTACCCGACCCATCTGTATTGCTGAAGCTTTGGCTATCGAGACAGAAAAGGTAGATATCTGGGTGCAGAAAAAGTTCGTTCAACCCCTCCAACTTTCATGGTTTTAATCCCTACATGCTATAGTATGGTAATCCTTAATCATATCTTGCCTCTACCAGTCTTTTCGTTTTGTCTATTCAATTAGTATGCTTTTCCTTTATTACGTCAATTCATACTATTACATTTCCCATTTTGAACTGTCCCCGGTATTATTTCATTTGTTCCACTTGTCATTCTAAGTCAATTTTGTTTTGCAACGTTAAATTGTATGTTATCAAACTTCACATAATATTAAGTAACGTTTTTATTTTATTCGATTTGTCTATTAATCCTATAATTGCACACACCCTCCAAGTTCTATACATCCTATGAATTATTCTATATATGACAATAATTGTTTAGCCATTTGACATATAACTATGATTATAATCACAAATATTTTAATTGCATTTCATACTACTATTATTATTATTTTATGCATTCACACCCATTATTCAATTCCCTCACTGGATATAACTTCTTTAAAACTATATATATACGACTGTACAGGTTGATAATAAATTCGTTGAAAAGAGTCTCTCCGCTGAATCTCTTGTTTTGATTTTCTATATGTTACAGTGGGAATTTTCCATGAATTTCATTTCCAGTCTTAGTGACACTTTCTTCGGAATATTCCTTACTACAAAACGAGAATGAGAGTAGCAAAAATTTATGTATCTCAAAATGAATTATTCTAATGTAATAGCATCGGTAGGTTGCCAACCAAGTAGGTGGTTCCGAGTTCAATCCCCTGCTGACGTACTACTAAACCTAAGTTTACTAGTCATAATATTAATACGGGAAAAGAGGGAATGTTGGGCTTGAAGCTACTGCCACTTCAAAGCTTAAAGCCTGAAGCCATATACTTCTATTGGGGGATCAAAGGAATAAAAAAATAACAGTACAAAATGGCTTTATACTTACACGGCTGTGGTGTACAATAAAGATCACCAAGTAGAAATGGAAATGCTGGTTCTATTGGAGCTTTAGATAATTGACTGGTAACTAAGTTTTTTGTAGCTAATAATCTTTCAGTGATACCTTCACCAGTTATTGCTGTTGACGTATTATCATCCAGTGGTAAACTTGAAGGATCTGGTTGAAGAGCATAATTCAATCGTTCAACGCCTAATTTACGTCCTCGATGATGGGTGAACTGCCAGATAGCTAGTCGACTGTGAGCTAACAAAGCAAAAGAAACCATCAATGTAAAAAGTTTAATTATTTACTACATTATTTATGCAATTTTCATTTCGTTGAACAGGGTAAACTATAAAAGGCATGTTCATTTGTACGTGTTTTCTAATTTGAAATGTTTTAGTGCCACACATGTAGTGAAAAACTCGGAATAACGTGGTAGTATTTTGGGGTTGTGTCAGTGATTCTGGGGTAGGATGCCCGCCAGCCACTCTTGTCATTCCAATTCTTTTCCTAGCCGATACACTCCCAAACCTCGCTCGGCCATTAGTAAGCTCTATGTTTCACCCAGAACGAAAAGGAATGAAAGAAATTTTTGATCACAGACAAAAATGATAAAATGTGAACAGCGCAACAGTCGTCGTCTGTCTGTATCCTACGCTACACATTTGCTGAAACCTAATAGCACTGAGCAACTGTTTTGTCCTAATGTGTCTTTTTACTTCTCATTAGTCTACACCTCTATGATGGACTTCCTAGAGTTCCAATGAGTAGTCGACAAATGTGGAGTCTACCGAAATGAGTGTGAAGTCAGTTACCAATGATTTAGATGACAGCGGTGATTTATCACCAATTGGAAGAACTTAGAACCCATTGACTAACCCAGTGACTGAGTGGCTAATGGACTCACCCCATGTTCTGAAGCTCCTGGGTTACGTCTCTAGTTAACTTCTTTAAGAATCCTACTGACAACTCGCAAAGTAGGAAAAAATGGCTGTTGAGTTCCCCCTGATCTTCAGTGGATCTCTATGTGTCTCCCAACACAATAAACGTTTCTCCCTTTTAACCAAATTAAATCATTTAATCTGACTTTGTTTCCATTCAATACACCTTTGTGTAGCACAAATACTTTATGTATTAGAATAGGTGGTAGTGATTTGGTCGTGAATGTTTTTACTATGTAACTTGCGTGTAGAACGCTCTTATAATCTTGTATATAAGATCTCGTCTGCCCTTGACCGTCAATCTCTATTTAAGTAAAAGCGGTTGACTTGAGTCACGTAGTGAGGCATAGACTGCTTGTTTTTCATTCCTTTCAAGCTAGAGGTTTGAAGTTTCGGTAGCAATGGTGTTTATTCTTACAGGATGGGATTGCTAGCCTCATGGCCAACCTCCTCTCTTTACCACTGTTATTACTGATTTAGCGAGGTAAAGGAGAGCGTTGACCGGGGATCTAACACCAAACTACATGCGTGGTCAGAGAGTGTTCTACCGCTGTGCCACCGTCGCTTAGGACCAATTAGCTGGAAACCATTGGTGATATGGCTCAAAATCATAGTCCGTGGAGCATTTATCGCCTCTAAAAAACTCACAATATAGCCTAACGTCTATTGAAATAAATCAGAAAGTAAAACAACAAAGAAAGAACTGTTCAATGCGAATTTAAGGTTATCAGGAGTCCGAATAGCACTATAGTAATGCCTCTCTCACTGAAGCCCCAAGTGACCTGGGTTAGGATTTCAAATGTGACATCGGCTACTTTAAAGTTGCAGACACATATTACTGACAGGATGACAACAAAAACACAAAATCTAAGACCGTCGTTCCTCACTGATAGCCTCCAACTGTCTAACATCTATTCCAGATACACGGGGATGGCGAATCATCTAACTTGATAGAAACATGCCACTGGTTACAACCTTAGTGATAAATTAGTGTACTTCTCAAAGTATCAGCACAGTTAGGTTGGTTCCACTTTTAATTAGCTGATGGTATTCAGTATGCTTGTTAAGCTATTCCCAATAAATATTAGCAATAACTTTGTCCAAATTCTAGTTAACTGATATTTCTTTGTTGTATTTTTAAAGCGGTTAACATTCTGTGTTTTAGAAAGTCAGTCGTTTTCTTTTAATTGCCTTAACATCACAATAGAATACCTAAGAATACCTAAGAACTAGTAACGAGACAAATACACATGTGCACACAAGTAGGCGCACATACAAATCAACAGAGAAATTGCCTTCATGATCTGCAGCCCAGATACAGACTAGTGGTGATGAAAGTATTCGATCCATCTATCATTAACATATTTTATCGAATGTATGTACGTATATGTTTATGTGTATCATTTAGAAATATAAGGCAGCATAAACCATATATTGACGTTGAAAATTGACGTTATTAGATTATCACATCAAGCCATGAACAAAGACGAAAAGCACGTATTGTCCGTATATATTTACCTGTGCTATTTATTATATTACTGTTTTGAGGATGTACTGTTAGTATGGGAGAATCAATTTACAAAATAAGCTGTAAGCATAGATTCGCTTTTTATTTGCACCCATCAATGAAGTAACATTTCTTATGATCTTACCATGTAGAATATTCTGATAAATACACATAGAATAATAAACACTCAGGCTAAACACTATTTGAATTTTCGCTTCGTAGTGATTTCGCTCAACTTCAATGTAAATCTCGTATCATTATTATTATTATTGTTCTCTTGGGTTCCTAGTGGAACATAGGGCTTCAACTGCACGTCTCCACTTGCTTCTGTCTTCTGCTGTACTTTTCACCTGCATCCATGTTAGTCCATACTGTTTCAACTCCTCTTCACACGATCTCCTCCATGTCACCCTTGCACTGACGTCCCACTCGCCGCTTCCCTTTCGGGTTCCACTCGAGCTATGGCCTGACGCGCGATGTCACTCAACGGCCTCCTCAGCGAGTGTCCAATCCATCTCCACTTTCTCCTGCATATTTGTTGAGCGATTGGTTCTTGTTTTGTTTCTTCCCATAGTTTCTTGTTTGTGATTCTTTCCGGCCATCTGATACTCAGTATAGAACGAAGACAGTTGTTGATAAAGGTTGAAAATATTCTTTGTGACCCACCAAGTTTCTGATCCGTATAGAAGAACTGACTTGAAGTTTGTATTGAAAATCGAAGTTTTGTTGTTGACAATGAGTGACGAAGATTTCCAGATTGGTTTCAGGTGGATAAATGTGTTTCTCGCCTTCCCGATTCTCGATTTGACATCCTCGTCCGTTCCTCCTGTAGTTGAGACAATGCTCCCTAGATAAGTGAATGAAGCAACCTCTTTCAAATCCCTCCTGTTGATGGTGATCGGCAATGAATGTTGCTGCTGTTGTTGTTGCTGCTGGTTGGTTATTTTCATAACCTCCGTTTTGTCTATGTTCACCTGGAGTCCTGTCTTTGCTGCTTCTTCAACCAGTTTGTCGGTTTTCGCTTGTGAGGAACTAATATCCGTTGACTTGTCATTGAAAATGAAGGTACGCTTGGCATATATACTTCGTCCTAGTTGAGTATTCTTCAGCACTGCACACCCACGACCCCAGAAGATGTCAGAATCAGGACCTTCAAGTTTCAAGGTGAGTCCGTTGACAACCAGTTATTGTTTAGAAATTTAATGACATAAGAATCTTAACTTCTGTCAGTGGTTCTCCATCGGACATCAATCAATAATGAAATTTATACCATCAGCGGTACAAGGTCTGGACTTCAAGGATGATTTATGTCAAGAGTTAATCAAACTAGAAGATCTACTGGTGAAAACTAACAAGCTGACAGAAGAAGTAGCGATGACAGAACTCCAGGTTAACACACAGAGAAGACTGAAATAATGAAGATACTTAACCAACCACAATAAGCATCAGTCGTCATCAGCAGGTGGAGAAATCTAAAAGAAGTCATCTCTTTCACTTATCTGGCTAAGCAGTATCGTTTCAATAACAACTGGCACAGATTAGGATTTCAAAGTCTGCTGGGATTGGAAAAGCACGACAAACCGTTATTTCTATTGAATCAATTTGAAAATCTGTTGCACAAAATCACAAGGAACAAGATCCGGATATTCATCCCTGGTGTTTAGTCAGCCATTCTACTTGCATCAGTGACCTGAAGCGCCACCAAGAGAATTTCCCGCTGAATACTGTAGATGTTTATCAATACCTGCATTCACTCCATAATGAAGATCAGATGGCCAGAACGGATTAGCAACAACGAACCAATCAAGAACCTGTTGACTGGCAAATATGTATAGGGTTTCGTTGAGTGACATTATACGCTAGGCAGGCCCGAGAGTGGAACCTGAATAAGAAAATGACTAGTTGGGAGTCAGAGAATGATGTGGAGAAAATCATGTTAGGAGATGGGTGCTTAAGGAAGTACAATGATGGAGACAGCTTATAAAAAGGACTGAGGAGTGCAGAGGAAAGTGGAGATGTGCTGCTGCAGTTCCATGTTCCACTTGGAACCCAAGGGAACAGTATTAATAAGGTATCGAACTAGTAAGACAATATAATAACTTCTTACCCTTAATTGCATCCAGACACAATGGAACTGAGATTTGATCCTCTGACTGTAGAATATTCAAAAATTCTTTGGACAATTCATTTCTATCATTCTGGTGAATTTCAAAAATATCGCCTAAATCTGTACCAAGTTCCGATGGACAGCTTAAAAATGTACACAAAAATCGGTAATATATCTTATTAGTAAATTACATAGTGTCAAAGAAACAAGAAGGATTACGTGATACTAAGTATTATGACGTAATTAATGGAGTTTTTAAAATAGATTAGCCCATTTAACATGATAACAGTAAGGGAATATTCAGAAATTAAGACAAGTTCACTAGAGATTTTGACCTTTACACCAACTGGATTGGAATTCTACAATATATCATTCCAAACTTCTGTCACTTCGTGATGTTAAGTGCTACTGTTAGTCACTACTATCAATGTGCATCCTCTTCATCCTGAAATGGTTGACTCAATCGGTTAAGACATCACATCAGAACTTCAGGACATTCATCCTGTTAGTACTAACTAACAGAAGAATGATATATCGTAGTTGAATGATCAACGGACTGACTCTAAAATACGAAGGTGCCAAGTTAGAACCCTGGTGGGGTTTGTGAATGTATACTGCTGAAGACTTTCAAGCTACGACGAGAAAATTGTCCAGTACTCTCTGATTTTTAATGGCTGCCTGACTACTGCTGAGTGGATGTACTACATAAATGACAATATGCCGCTAGAAAATATTTAAACAACAGTTGCAGTGAGGAAATTTTTCTTTTCAACGAAGTCATCAACCAAACTGTACATTCGTGTATATATAGTAAACAAGTGAGAAAGTTCCAGAATTATTTCCGGTCAAGGGTCAAATTAATACAATTGCAAATACGAATTTAAAATGTAAAGACGATAGAAATAAACAGGAAGTTTGGATTAGAAAGATAATAGGATAATTACTAGTGAGAGAATTGACGCCTTATAATGGCCATGTTAGAGACAACGGTTGGAAGTATTTCTTTTAGATACACAGCATAAACTCGAACATTTGGATCACTAGTGCCTCAGGTACACCTAGAATCCTTGGTTTCACTCCTCTTGAGAGGTTTGATCGGATCTTGTATATGACTTTGAAGGACTTTTCAAACAGAGCTGCATGTCATGAATTCATTAGATGTTCAGTTACCGAACTACATACACACTCATGTTCTCCGTCTCCCTCCAAAAGTTCAAACTGACACAATGTATATAAAAGAAATGCATCCAACCGTTGTCTCTACCATGGCCATTATAGAAAGTCAATTCTCTTAATAGTGATTATCCTATCACCTTTCTTAATTCAAACTTCCTGTTTATTTTTATCATTTTTACGTTTTTAATTGCTATTTGTAATTATATTGATTTGACCCTTGACCAAAATTATGTATCCGAATGAAGTTGTGGAAACGTTTCTTTTACAACATCACTTGAAATGATGCTGAGAATATATGGGGCATATACTGTCATAGGTAAGTTATCCATCAAACTTTGTAAGCTTCAGATGCATGATTGTTTTCTATTCCTTCACATTCCTAGGGGAACATAGGGTTTCAAACTACAGGCTTGAAGTTTTGGCAGCAATGGTGTTTTTATTTTTACAGGATGGGGTTGCTAGCCTCATGCCAAACCTTCCCTCTTTACCAGTCTTACTATTGGCTTAATGAGGTAAAAGAGTGGGTCAAACGGGGATTGAACCCTAGACCACATGCGTGGTCGGCGAGCATTCTACTGCTGCGCCAACGACGCACCAGATGAATGATAATGATGATGAATACATCTTAATTAAAAATTGATCACCGCAAATGATCTTACAGGGACGTTTTGGTGGACATTTACTATGGGTGTGTAAACACTTGACAGTGGAAATCACAGTTAACAGAATTTCTAAGCCATGTTAGGAATAAAATCCGCTAGCAAACTCATTATTTGCCCAGTTTAGATTAACAACCAATTCGATATTCATGTATAGGTAAAGCGTGAATATAAATTATGTAATTGGTTGTTCATTTTTTTACAGCGTTAGTAAACCAGTGAACAAGTAAATGAAACAATCAGATATAATTAATACTTAATGTACACTAACTCTATTTGAAACTTACCATTTCTTTAATTGACTAAGAACATATCTTGCAGTGATTAAATTAGCCTCTGGGACTAAATGACCAATCCAGCAGTAAGCTTTCATAATTTGTGGTGAATCTGTGCTAGCCAGTAGCTTTTTACATTGGATTAAAAATAATACACCTTGTGGACGTAATGAACTCAATGAGACTGGAACTTCAATCAAATGACCTTCTTGCATTACTTCACCACGAACAATAAACATACGTGGACTAGGCTTTTTGATAAAAAGAATAGACGAATGTTAAAAGTGAGTGATTTGTAATGAAGCAACATTCAAGTAGGAAATTATTACGAAAGAAATATATAACTAAAAATAAAAAGCACATAAAAGTTGGAAGAACTGTTTTCCCCAGGTATTGTCTTCTATGAACAGACTGCACTGTGAATAGGAAATAATGTTTATTTGTGTTTGTGTTTGTCACTCAGGGGTAAAATGTTCACCAATCAAGAATGCAATCCTGGTCCAATTCCACCCCTTCCCCTCCGGTTCATTCATAAATCTCACTTAACCTGTGGTAAACTCAGAAAACAGAGATGTTTGAGTTTGAGGCTATCAATCTCACCCCGCCTCCCCCCAAAAAAACACTGAAACTCCGAAGCTGAAGCTTGGAACCCTATGTTCCACTCGGAAGGTAAAAGGATAAAGAATGAAGTGTTTCATAGTATGTGTCTTAAAACTTTAAATTTTGCTGGTGGACTCAATCGATAAATTTGGAAATAATTGAGATGAAGGTGTTGTGCACTGACATCTCTTTCTTTAAGATAATTTAAGAAAATAGTAAATGGGAAGTAGTGACTATTGGGGTCCAGCAAGTCTAGTATGAGGACAAATACTTGCCAAGGATGACATTCGCCAGAGGTCACACCATATTATGAATTAGCAGAAGTTGGAATTCATGGGCTGGCCATTCGATCAGGTCCCAATGGCTCAACGGTCTACGACCTCTCCTTGTAACCAAAGGGTCCTGTGTTCAAACCTCGCAGTGTGGGTACGTACTGTTGAAGAGTTCCAAACTAGGATGAAACAGCTATCCAACACTCTTAGATGGTTTTCCAATGATCCTCTAACAGATACCAATTCACGATGAAATCGTAAAACCGATCAAGTTCCTGCAAACCAATACCTGAAGATAAATTTTTTTTCGTAATAGAAAATCCTTCTAGTGGTTTCCAAGACTTGTCAGTGTTCAGTGAACGCCTTTAAATTAAACAGGACTGTTGTTACCGCACATCATTAATTTACAAATGTTCGTCTACTGAATTCATATCTACTGGATAGAATAAGCCTAAGTAAGGCTTGACGAAAATGTTATGATAAAAGGGATATGGTGGTACAATCAGTTAATTAGGTTCAAACTATCAGAGGAAAGGATAATGGCTGTATGAATTTCTACTGACTGCATAGTTTAATCTTATTAGTTGGAAGCAAATCGCCTTAATTACATACAGTGGAAAGATTCCATGGGATGCGACAAACATCCTTGAATACTTCCATTCTGTTTATTGAATCATCAGTATCAAATAAAAACGATAAAAATCAACTTTCTATGGTTTTTATCTGTCCTCAACCAAACTACAACAGGAGATGCTCAGTAACACAATGGCTATTCTGTCTTATAGTACGCCCAACATAACTGTCTGCACAGTAGCAGATGAATTAATTGATAAATATACATGGGTGTGGCAAACTATCTAGCTTCTAATTCGTTTGACTCCCAACCATTTACTATCTAGAAAATGTTCTCCGTTAAGCTATGGTTGCTCTCTAGAACAAAATTCTACTTGAAAGTTCCGTTTTAAATAATAATTTCTTCTGTACTCTCATTGTCTCAAGATTTCTATCTAAATTTGTTCGTATGGTTCTTTATGAAACTACTCCGATGACTAGTTTCCATCACGTAAGTTTAGATATAATCACGTTGCATTAGTAAGTGATCTTCCTGTATCCACAATACATTCAACCCGGTGGGTACGTGCTGATGAAGAGCCCAAAACTAGGACGAAGCAGATGTCCAGTACTTCCTGCAGATTCTCCAATGGCTCTCTAACTGGTGTCAGCTCATGATGAAATCCTTCAACCAATCAAAGAAAATTCCCCACAAAACCAATACTTGAACATTCAACAATATTTCCTTTTTTACATTTATTGGGCAAATAAATAAGGACGAGCGTTGATCACCTCGTGAATGCGTTTCTTGTTAATTTTATTCATGCTAAATATCATATTATGAAAGAGAAGTATTGAAATGACATACATCGGAGAATTTAACTGACATACTTTGAGATACTAGATCCTGTCGGTGTTTCACCTGAAAACACACAACTCACTAATGAACAATGAGGAAGTCATAAACGCTTCACAACACTGAAGTCTCCCATAAAACGTTATACTTTTAACTTTTTATGAAATTTTATGAAGGGCTACAAGCTTTAACCATTTTGTTAAAAAGAATGACAATTTCAACCACTTTTCAAATCGTCTTGTAAAACAACCAGAAACTATATGCTGTTGTTCAGGCGTTCATAGATATCAAACCAAATTCACAGTTAACAAATTAATTCACAAATTTCGATTCGCGCAATTCGGAGTGACCATTTCACCACAATTTCCTTTGGAAACCGACATTATTCAGATCACCACAGGTTGTCTGCTGCCCGATTTCATAAATGGCGATCAAGAAGGCAAACATGGATTTCATATTATTTATTGTTCCTTTGGCTTCCAAGTGGAACATAAGGCTTTAACAACACATCTACACTTTGTTCTATTTGCTGCTGTCCTATTCATTTCGGTCTATGATTGACCATAATCTCCTCACACGATCTTATCCATGTCACCCTCGGACGACCCACTCATCGTTTCCCATTAGGATTCCACGTAGATGTGTGACGCTGTACACTATTAAGTGATTGCGATAAGCAGTTGGGCACTAATAGCATCAACCAGAAGGGCTTACCAGCCAAACTAGGGTGATCTGAACAATGGATGCCTGTTTCGCTCATTGTTTCAACCTCATCAGCTGATCGTGAATTAATTTGTGAATTGTGAATTTGATTTAACGGATTACCAGTTTTTTCAAGTAGCTGGTCAGAATTCGGTGGGCGGTTTGAACTGATTAGGTTGTTTGATTTACGTTAAACCGGGTATAGTGCTGATAATTTTGGCCCAAAAGGAGTGAAACGCCCAACTACTCATCACAATCAGTTAGTAGTATATATAGTGGCCTTCTGGGATATTGTTAACAATGAAGACTGTTTTTCCGCACAGAGTTTTCTTGTAATTTCTATTCCAACAAAAAATAATAACTGAGATATGAAAATCTTCTCTATTGCAAGTGCATTTAACATACACTTTGAAATGGTGAAACAACGAAGAGGGTGATTCATTTCATTTCATCCACTGTCCATTACTTTATGCTTTATCATGATCATCATAACGAGTCAGTGGTTTAGGGGTAGAATTCTTGTAAGGCAACCTCGTGGTCTGGGGTTCGACTCCCTGCCGATGCATTACTAGACCTCTCTTATGTGGTATTAAGCTTGGAATAGAAAGAAAGTAGGTTGTGGTGTTATATTACTAATTGTGGTGCACAGGATTATGCGTCACACAAAGGGAAACGAGAAGACAGGGATATCGTGGACTGATGTGAAGAACCTAGAAGACTTAGATTTCGCGCGTGGATGATTTATGTTTGATATCACACAAAATCGAAGAATTACAAGCGAAAACCAACAAACTGGTCGAAGAAGCAGCAAAAACAGGACTCCAGGTGAACATAGACAAGACAGAGGTCATGAAAATAACCAACCAACCAACAACAACAACAACAGCAACATCCAGCGCCAATCACCATCAACGGAAGGGATTTAAAAGAGGTCACTTCATTCACTTATCTAGGGAGCATTGTCTCAACCAAAGGAGGAACGGACGAGGATGTCAAATCGAGAATCGTGAAGGCGAGAAACACATTCATCAACCTGAAACCAATCTGGAAATCTTCGTCACTCAGCATCAACAACAAAATTCGGATTTTCAATACAAACGTCAAGTCAGTTTTGCTTTACGGATCAGAAACTTGGCTGGTCAGAAAGAATATTTTCAACAGGCTGCAGACCTTTATCAACAACTGTCTTCGTTCTGTACACTGAAGATGAGATGGCCGGAAAGAATCACAAACAAGAAACTATGGGAACAAACAAAACAAGAGCCAATCGCTCAACAAATATGCAGGAGAAAGTGGAGATGGATTGGACACTCGCTGAGGAGGCCGCTGGGTGACATCGCGCGTCAGGCCGTCGAGTGGAACCCGAAAGGTAAGCGGTGAGTTGGACGTCGAAGGGTGACATGGAGGAGATCGTGTGAAGAGGAGCTGAAGCAGTATGGACTAACATGGCTGCAGTTGAAAAGTACAGCAGAAGACAGAAGCAAGTGGAGGCGTGCAGTTGAAGCCCTGTGTTCCACTAGGAACCCAAGGGTACAATAAAAAATAGGTTGTGATGTTACCAAACCTACTCCTTATAACTTTACAAGCAGTAGTGAAAATTTCAGGCGTAAAATTTACAGCCCTATATTCCTTTCGGGACTTAAAAGAACTGGAAAATAAACCATCATCACAGTAAAACTTTAGAATATTCAACAGATGAAAACACTCACATGTTTTGGTGTTGTTCTCTTTCCATCGTGTACAATCATTCTACCATTGAATAGGTGACAAAATACTGGCGGTTCCTTTCCTTCTATTACTCTGATCTGATTATTATTATTAATAATAATATTTAATTAACAAAAACAAAAACAAAAGCAAGTGCAAGGTCAAATGATCTTTTTAACAAGGTGAAAAACAACATATGATATTTATAAGGCGACATTATTATTATTATTAATATTAATAGTATATAGCAGTTATAATTAGACTTTCACATATTATGGCATTCCTTTAACCTTCTAAAATTCAAGTTTTGGTACTTTTAACATAATAGGTGAGAAGAGTTATAAAACAAATTATGTGCTAACAAGGTGATCATCCGATCAAATATTGTCATAATAGTGATAATATACCAAAAATCTCGTCGACATCTATGAATAATATTCTGAATAGTAGTCAAACCTTCACAAAAAGATGTTAATGAGTTAACTGAAGGTATTTTCACTACGAGAAAACATGAAAGGAAATCCTGGAAAACATTGGAAACTTGACAGGCAGGATTGAATCTGTAGCAAACAAAGGACTAGACGCACTAAACTAGTATCCATTAAAAAGTCAAGAATGAAGAATTTACAAAAAATTACAGCTAGCTTAAAGTACACACGTGCGTCAGTGGCACAACTGTAGAATACTCGCATGTGGTTCAGGGTTCGATCCCTGTTCAACGCACTCCTTTACCTCGCTAAGCCAGTAGTAGGACTAGTAAAGAGGGCAGGTTTAGCATGAGGCTAGAAACCCCATCCTGTAAGAATAAACACTACTGTTACCGAAACTTCAAGCCTCTAGCTTGAAGCCCTATGTTCCACTGAGAAGTTAAAGGAATAAAAAAGCAAATTGGATTTCACCCTGGTTACAGTATAATCAGTAGCAGTTGAGTGCATCAGTTTCAAGTATCAAGAGAAGCGCGCCTGATTCCATTCCAGTTGGATGAATTGTCAATGTGTTCGCCTTAGAGCCTGAAAATCCCGGGTTCAATTCCTGCTGAGATCACCGTGGGTGTCTACTGCTGAAGAGTTCAAAGGATAGGATCAAACAGCTATCTAGTACTGCAATTTTGGTTTTTTATGTTTTTATAAATGAATTTAGTTTGTGCTCAATATTGAAATCATTTAAATATGCCTACAAACTAGCACTTATAACTAATTGATTCAAGACGGGTGCTTACTCTAGCCGTTTAACAATGAGATTTCTTACTACTGAACTGAATATTAGCGTGTGGTTGACAACGCTATTGTGGTTCTTTGTATTCATTTTTTACGCACTAAGACATAGTTGTTGGTTATTTTTGAAGTCAAAAGTCTTTGCATCATTCTGATTCAGGATTGAATTAGCGAAACGTGTCTTAGTTGAAAAGGGTGCTTTTATCTTCGTTCACAATCATTTCGCTTAGTGAAAAACAGTATTACTGTCAGCAAAGGTGGAAGTTATTTTAAGAGGAAATTTAAACTTTTTGTGTGACAGCTAGACTGGTCAAATAGTAAAAAGCGAAGAATACAGCGGAAGGATTTCAGTATGAGACATTCAGGAGGGAATAACTGATACAAGAATTAAGAGTCACAAATGAAGTTTGTTTAAAGCCAGTATGCATAAGTATGTAATACTGTGGTGAGAGCTGGCTGCTAGCCAAAGTTGGTAGACAGTAATTGACGTCAATGTTTATGTCCCCAATATCGGCGGTGAGAAAATGAGAACAAAGGCTTTGCGTGGGCGGATACAGTTAGCATATGGATGATCTGACACAGCCACAAAGAGATGCAAGGTCAACTTTCTATGAGAAACAAACAATCAAAAGACTGTATTTTCCACTAACAATAATCTACAATAACGTACATTAAAATCTATAAATATGTGTTGATTTTCCTAAATAAACGATCTGTTGCCTGGCCCTTGTCTTCTGTTGTTACAATACTATATCCTTATGAAATCAGTCGAAATTAGATAAGTACCCTAATGATGATATCATTACCAATGGTGTTTATGAATTTACATCCATATACATGACAGAATGTACATTGGAAGGGCAGCTAGACAGAGACTTCTTTTCGACATTGTGGGGAGTAACTCAAGAAACTCTATGCTGAAAGACAAGCAAGTAATTCCAGGAATACAGTTATCAGGCTCCTTTTGACGTCTCTTATTTCTTTAAAATATTCGATGTGCAAAAGATGCACAGATCACTATACTTTAGGAATGTTGGTGTTATAAAACATTTTCAACCGGATTTGTATATATAAAGAAGTTGATTCACTCAGTTTGGTTACTTTCGTCTAGTTATCTGATGACGTCTCGTAAGCCGTTTTGTTGATAATGTATATAGATCAACGATGACAACATTTACTGTGGTATGATTTCAACAGTTGAAGTATCGTTTCCAGGCGATTTCAAGTAGTCTTCAGATGATGAGTAATTATGAGATATTATTTTGTTGGGTGGTAACTAGCAATAAAATCCAGGATACATATTTTCATCCTATTTAAGACTCGTCAGTTAGATGCACATGAAACCCTCAGTGACTGAAACTCGAACTCAGCGCTCAATTTAAACGCCAAAGTACTATCCAGTAGATTGCTTGGACGATAAGAACCACCTCTTCTGAGCAATGCGTATCAACTACCACTATTATTTCATACATTTATTCACCTTAATGAATTTGAACAAGGCAAGAACTAAAGATTTTGCAGAATGAAGTGGTACCAACTTTTATTTCTTTGCCTTCTCTACAGCTGCTTGCAGGCAAAAGACATTAGCAAATATATCTATAAAGACAATTTTAACCTATTTGCACAAAGTTCATTTTAAACAAAAACTAATCGATCAATATATGCATACAGTAATAATATATACATATTTATATATATGTAATATTAAACACTATTCCGAATAATAATAATCATACACAATGGAAACTTTTCAGCATTACGCATTCAGATGAAAGAGAGATGAAAATGTTCAGTTACCAGGGCGAAGAAAGACTGATGACCGCTTCTTTCTGGACGAATAAATCAGGTTTCAGGCGCTTGATGGAAATGGCTTCAGCAAACTTAAGGAGAATTCAGCTCTTTTGCATATTGATAATTTTGAACGACTTTTCGACGTCCACCTCATGACCCGTGTAAAGGAGGTGCCTGGCGACGAAACTGTTGAAAGCATTTGTTCCCTTTAGATAATAGCTTTTTGGTACATGTTCAGATAATCGTAGATATACCTTTCTTTCTGTCCTTCCAATATTATTTATTTTTAGATTGGTTTTTATATTCCCCGCTGATCGATTATATTAGACCAAAGTATTTGGTCTGTGTTGGTAGTCGCCATCTACCGAAATACCATCATTTTAGTCCTCAGACATCGTCGAAGTGTCCGTTTCAGTAGTTGACGTGTCAACAAGGAGCAAACGCCGCTGTCTAATTAGTGGGAAATACAAACATCAGCTTGAAAGCCTGTGAGATGTTACAATATGTGTAGTTTTTCTTTCTATGATGAAATAATAACTACTCTGGTCAGACAGTAAAAGTAAAAATAAAAGTAATTTTCGTTTGACAAAGTGTATAAAAAAACAAGACTAACCTGTGGACCTCTTTCCTCGTCTAATTCAATAGTCATTAAAGCTGCTGCGCCTTTTTCCGTGATTTTACTCTGTGATCCTTGCCAAAAGAAATAAGCACAATGTTCTCGAGTATTTTCACTATTACGCTTATTGCCATTTCGTGCATTATCTGGAAAAGTAAGGTAAAATAAAAAAAAAACAAATATGTAGATATCAGTCAACTATTGTGGCGTGTGCTACTGATGAGTAAGATTTATCAGTAGTATATAAAGAGACGTTCATCAGCATAAAGACATCATACAACAGGGAGATATATTTGACACCAGAAAAAGCAAATAATACATCGTTGCGGAGATACATGGGAGACGTGAAAGGAACACAAAGAAACACAATATAAAGGAAGGCCAGAAGTAGCACTACGTGGAAGATGTGTGCAAATGGTACGCTGAAGGTAAGGTGTACATAGTTTCGCCATACTGAGATACCGAATTCCAAGGAACATTCCTTTCAATAGTTGGTTTGTAAGGATCAGATTTGTTTTGAAAAGTTGATCACGGATTGATATCATTTAGAGAACCATTGAAACCACCAGGGAGTACTGGATTGCTGTTTCCACCTCATAGTTGGGAACTCATCGTCAATACGCATCCACCGACCGGATTCGAACCCAGGACCTTTCGGTTACAAGGCAAGCTCGTTTACGATTCAGCCACTGGTTCTCTAACTGATATCAATCCGTGATCAACTCGTCAAAACAAATCTGATCCTTGCAAACCAACTTTTGTGAATTAATCTGATGCTCGATAGTGACCTGCTACAGGACGGATTTTCCTGGAGTTCTAGTGAGAAGTCGTGACCAGTGAGGTCCATCCAGTCAAGTGTGAGGATGGATGTCCCACCGACGACATTGGTTGGTGCCAGTCACGCTAAATCACGAATTGGTAGAAGTTGGAATTCATGGGCTGGCCATTAAATCGGGTCCCAGTGGCTGAATGGTATACGAGCTCGCCTTGTAACCGGAAGGTCCTGGGTTTGAACCACAGCGATGGGTGCGTACTGCCGATAATTCATAAACTAGGATGAGACAACTTTTCAGTACTGTCTGGTTTTCAATGGTCCTCTAACTGATATCAGTCTGTGATCAACTCGAGTAAACATTCCTTTACCAAGTGTTCGTCTTCAACAGTTTCTTTATGAAACAGTTATAGTGAAATATACCGGGCGAAATCCTAACAACATCTGACACAAATAACATTGTAACATGTTAAATTACTGAGATTTACGTTGTTAATATTAGCTGTAAGCAAACAATACCTCCCAAATAATAATAATAACAACCGAATATTACTTCATTAACCAGTGTTGATAATTTTAGAAAATAACTGTCTTCTTCTATATTTCGTTGCCATAGAAGAGTATTATGTCAGCGTGACAAATCACTTCCAGTCAAAAGATTTCCAGGTCTACAACTATTGACTATTACAAACTAATTCCTAATCATCAGATGTAGGTTTCTTGGAATTTCATTGATTTCCGACTAGGCTACATCAGTAAACGACATCAATTAGAGAATGACTGCAGAACTGGACAGCCGTTTCGTCCAGTTTTGAAACTCTTCGGCAGTACGCTCCCATGATCGTATACCCATCAGTTTGTGACAAAATCCAACGTATATTTAAGCTATTTAATCTTGAATTTCTGGAGAATTCGTGATTTTTCCGAGGAGAAATAAAAGTTCAAATAAAACTGAAAAACCGATGTATTTGTATGAAGGAGGGACAGTGTATTGTCTGCTCCCAGTCTAGTATTCATATCACACATTAAGATATGGATGTCACCATCTTAGGTGTTAACGGTTACTGTCGAAAGCTGTCGATAGAAATCTTCATTCTTCTCTAGTCCCAAGTTGTTTGTAGGTGCATAGCATTAGATAATTGTAGCCTTCCTTCCTTTTGAGTTGAATCTTGCTGCCATTATCCTAGAGGAGACTGATTCGCACTGCATAAGTGCTTTGGCCAGTGTTGGTGCTATCATTATAGCCACTTCCTCAGTGTGTTCATGGTTATCGTCTGGGTGACTGGAGTAAATTACTGGCTTATCAGTTAATAATTACGAGAGTCCTCATATATTCCATCTGCTCTCACAGATTCGCAACACTTTTATGCTATATCTTTCCACTTATTTTTCAGTTTGAGCAGCCATACGGCCTGAAACACGATGCAGACATTCCATGCCCCGGCTAGTAAGCTAGGCGACGTTGGAGTCTCTATAGCGGTGGTGCTTTTTTACGTGGTGGGGTCACTAGCCTCACTTCAAACCTTCCCTCTTTTCGGGGCTTAATACAGGTTAGCTGAGGTTTAGAAGTGAACCGGCCAGGAAGCAAACCTGGACCATCTTCTTGATCTGAGTTAGATATTTACAGACACAAGTTAAGCAACAGAACAAAAAGACATCATATCAATGAATTCTGAATTCAATAAAGCGAAGAAATTTATAATTTACTCACTATGAGCTATTCTATACGACCATCGGATAACATAAGTATTTTCTTTATGAAATTGTCCATGACTTGTTATAGGCATTTCAAATCTAGCAAATTCAGATACATGCCATACACGTAGTTCAACTGTTTCTACACAAAATTGTCGTAGGATACCATCTTCATAACGGCATACTCTACCACCTCGACCAACATAACGTCCTTCAAGAGTCAGTAAGTTTGGAGGTGGAGGTGGATTATTGATTGCGCTGTCATACAATTCAACAGCTGAATACGGTTCCATTGCTAATGAAGCGACGGCAGGTGAACTCTGTGCAAAAGAAGACAAAAAGAACAATGTCAAAAGGGAATGGATTTATTTACTAAAGCTTTTATGTATAGCTGATCATTGGGTGAATTGAGCTTCGATTGTTGATGAATCGACTCGACCTATTCCTTCAATGACAGAGCCTTATTTGGAACTCTCTCTGATCTTTACACTGACTCTTACCAGTTTAGACATACTAAACCATTAGGCTGAGATAGAATATTTATTACAATATGATTGGAAAACTCTGGAGCTCGACCTTGTACGACCAACTGATTTAAATTTGCAATGGCTTAGGTTTCCAAGTTTGTATAATGCATATGTGGTAGGAGCTGGCTGCAAACCGAAATTGTAAACAACAATTTCCCTCAATGTTCACGTCCCAAATCAGGGGCATGAGAAAAACACAATAACAAAGCTTAACCTTGAGAAAATCACCAGCCAATCACAGCGGAGTTAAAGTGTGGAAATATGATTAGCAGATATATGGCTTGATTTTCTGAGAAACGACCACAAAGAGATAACAGAATAATTCGCAGCAAGTAAACAACTAATGAAGAGAGGTTGCTTCTCCGCTAACAATAATGTGCATATAAATCTATAAATACCTCTTGATTTTCTCAATAAACAATCTGTTGCCTTGCCTTTGTCTTCTATCGTTACATATATATACGTAATGTACTTAAATCTAATAGAATGAATTGTTCCTACCGGATGGGACCAGTCTGTCTTCATTTCTCCCGGACTGAATTAGTTGAACTGATCAGTGTCTAGTCTTCAGTCGAACTGTCTAGTACTTCTGAGTATTGAACTCTTAGAATACAACAGCAGATATAACAGGAATACAATATCATATCATCTCAGAAAGATTATTTTGCTGTCTGTGAAGCTATACATTATTTTGACTCTGAAATCTTGATTTATTCTCTGTACTGTTAATTCAGTTTTCAGGGTAAGTGTCAATTCATTGTCGACTGAAAATTAATGACTGCTATCTCCTAACACCACTCCCAGTATACATATCAAGTGGGTCCCACATTTCTACATAATCTTCTAAAGTCAGTTTATGGTAAAGAAATGACACAGATTATAGCTTTTTCTTCAAAAATATCTATTGCTTCTGAAATAACAAGCAGTTTGTTTGTAAAAGGCCAGGAAAACATTTCTAACAAGCGGTTGCAGACTGTCATCAACAGCTGCCTTTGATACCTCAATAATGAAGATCAGATGGTCACCTTACCGAAAAGGATAAGGGGTAAACTAAGAACCTATCACCTAACAAATATCCAAATGGAAATGGAGGTCCACTTGACAGACACTGTGGAGATTTGAAAGGGAGGAAAGGTACCTAACGACTGGAATAAAAATTGGCTGCCCTGTCAAGCTGCCAAAGAAGCGCGACCGACTCCTCACTCGACAAGAACTGGCGTGGAATAATGCTCTTGTCCACGCCAAGTAAACTACTAAGTCGCATCATCCTGGAGGGAATAAAAGATGCACTTGGTACAGAACTCCACCGACCCGGAACAAGCTGAATGCAGGAAAGGCAAATCATATGCTAATCAAATTGCAACTCTACGCATCGTCATCATCACGGAACAAAGCATAGAATGGCAGGCAAACCTCTCTCTACCTCAACTTCATGGACTTCGAAAAGGCCTTCACCGGATAAAGTTGAACGAGATATAATTTGGAAACTCCTTCAACAGGACGGTGCAACTCAAGTCATCATCAGTCTCATCCAACAGCTAGCTATATGACAATGCCCCGTGTCAGGTGATCCACAATTGAAAACTCAGCGAGGTATTCGAAGTGAACACAGGAGAAAGACAAGCTGGCTGGCTATTTTCGCCGATGATATTCTTAATTGTGATGGATTGGATTATGCGTCAGACTGTGTGGAGCGAGGAGTCAGGAGAAGAAGATCTGGATTTCTCACGTGAATGACTTATGTTTAATGTCACACAAACTCGAAGACTTACAGGCAGGCGAAAACCAACAGACTGGCTGAAGAAGCTGGCAGCGAAGACAGGAATTCAGGTGAACATTGAGAAGACGGAGGTAACGAAGATAACCAACCAACCAACATGAATAACAACAACCAGCACCAATCACCATCAACGGGAGAGATTTGACAGCGGTTACTTCCTTCACTTATCCAGCCAGGAAACATCGTTTCAACCACAGGCACTCGGAACGGATGAAGATGTCAAAGCCAGCCAGCCAGAATCAGAAGAGCAAGCTACGCCTCCATCAACCTGGAACCAGTTTGAAAATCTTCTTTACTCAGCATAAACAACAAGATTCGGATTTTCAACACCAATGTCAAGTCTGTCCTTCTTCACGCGTCAGAAGCTTGGTCAGCATGTCACGAAAAGGATTTCCTAGAGGTTGCAGACTTTCACCAATAGCTGCCATCTTCTCTGGCCCCATACTGAAGATCAGATGGCTGGCCAGAAAGAATAAGTAACAAGAAACTCTGAAGTGGAATTAACCAAGCAAGAGCTGATTGCCAAACAGATAAGTAGGAGAAAATGTAGATGGATGAATCGGGCGTACATTGAGGAGGCCGTCGAGTGACAACGCGTGCCAGTTCACTGCTCGAGTGAAATCCCAGTTGGAAGCTACAAGTGGGTCGTCTTAGGGTGACATGGAGGAGATCGTGTGAGGAGGAGGTGAGAGATTGTGGGCAGTCATGGTCCAAGCTGAAGAGGACAGTAGAAGATAGGACAAAGTGGAGATGTGTTATTGAAGCCCTTGTTCCACTCCGAACTCAAAGGAATAATAATAATAATGGAGACCGCTGAGTGATATTACATCCTAGAAAGTTAATTGAAACCCGAATGAGAAATGACGAGTTTGGTGTATGTCCGACAGTGACATGGATCAGACAATGTGAAGTGGGAATAAACGTTTCTAGACAACGGTAAATCCAGCTAAAATATCCACAAAGAACAATGATGATCTGCTGTGGAAGTCCGGTGTTCAACTTGAGGAATGATAATAATATATTATCCTCTTTATAGAAAACAAAACATCAACAAATACAATTAATTTATTAAAAACATTACCTCCATAGAAGCTGATTTTCCTGGTTTTAATGACTTCAGTTGAACACGTGAAGTATCAGGCCAGTCAAAGAATTTCTCTTTAAATAGAACAGTTTCACCCTTGTCTGTTACTTTACCTAATATAGTCCAATCGGGTCGTTTACTTCCAGAAGCCAGTATATCACTGTTGTGAGCTAAATTAATTTATTGAGAAAAACAAGAACACGTTAAGTATTGCTAAAGTTTGATAATAATAATAATAATAGCGAGTGAAATTTTAACAGAATCATTAACTCGAAACCATTAAGTGATATCACTAGACAAGCCATTGCTCGAGTGGAACCCGAAAGGGAAGCGGCGAGTTGGTCGTCAGTGAGAGGGTGACTTGGAGGAGGTCATGTGAAGAGGAGATGAAAATGTGTGGGCAGACATGGAGCCAGGTGAAGATTCTAGCAGAGAACCGAACTCAATGGAGACGCACGGCTGAAGCCCTATGTTCCTCCAGGAATTAAAGGATACAATAATAATAATAAATATAATTAACTGGAAAGACAATATCATTGTTGAATGCTAAAGTTAATGAAGATATGGAATTACTGCGTGATTTCTGGGTTATATTAAGTGCTGCGTGACTATGACACTAAGGTTAAACATTCTCAAAAGTCGTTAGATGTAGGAGTAATTCTTAGCATGACATAAAGTAATCTCCTGGAAGCTTTTGACCAGAAAACGGTAGACTGATAGACTGATAGAATTCAGTCTGCACCAAAGAAAGGACTAGATACATAACACTAGTTAGTCCTACAGGAGGTCAATCGTGGTCCCGAATAGCTCAATGGTAACGTCTCTGACTACAGGCGGCACTGGGTGACGTGGGTTCGAATCTCAGAAGGGACATGAGTTCCTTCAAGGTTGCAGATATGCCTTGGTGACCGGTCAGTATCAACTAGCACGAAACCTAGGTCGAGTAAGGCTTCCTTCCTATTGCCTCCAACCATCTAATATCATCGAATCAATGTGCACCGTGATGGCGAGCTATCTAGAATGATAGCCACATTGCAAACCTGACTGATAGAATTCAGTCTGCAACAAAGAAAGGACTAGATGCATAACACTAGTAACTGGTGTCCAATCATAGAAAACGATTATTAAATGAACCAGCCATTAGAGTTCCACTAGAATTATAAAGATAGTTTATATCAAAATGAACAGTGTTGACACCTAGTGAATAGAATGATTGAATTCTGATTAACATTCTAAAACTACTAGACAATTAGGCCTTAAGTTTTTTACATTAAAACAACTATTTTTTCTTGCAATAAAACTGTTACGTTGGAAGGTACTGGGTTCAATCCACAGTGAGGTCATAGATGCTAATTAAGACGAAGCTGCTGTTCAGTACTCCTTGCTTTTCAATCATTCTATAACTGATGTCACTTCATGATTGAATCTAACCTGATAATTATTTGTTTAGGAAGTTAGTTTTTTATCATCAAATCAACTTACCAAGACAAACAATCATTTAGATTGTGGGTTTTTGTAAGCATTCGGATTAGTTTTAATTTAGATTTCATCATGAGACAACAGCAGTTGTAGAATCATTGAAAACCAGTAAGCACTGGATAGCTTTTCCGTCCTAGTATAGAAATTTACAGCAGTGTACAATGACGGTTCTACCAAGGATGAAATCCTGGATCTTTCATGGTGAATAAACCAAGCTCACTGACCATACAATCAGTCGGCTCGGAATGTAAAACCTCGTGAATTCTAACTTCTGACGATTTGTGATATGAAGCCAATATGAAACCAATGTCTTAAGCGAGCGTCCACTTCATTCTTGGCATAGTGGTTGACAGCCACCACACCTCATTACAGCTTCAGAACACCCATCCAGTAACCCTTAATACGCTAGAGATTGATACTTCAATGATCATTAACTTTTAGTCAATTGATGGGTGGTGACTGGCAGTGGAATGCAGGATGCGCATTTCGTCCCATTTTGGGATTCGTCAACTGGATATACCCGCAATCCCGAATGAGTGATGGTGTTCCCACCAAGCATCGAACCCAGTGTTCATAGATTCAAACACCAAGGTGTCACCATCCACCAATTGACTTCAAGTTACATGACCAGACGTCATCGAAGCATCTGCGCAAACAGCCGACATGTCAACCTGAGACCAAGCACTTCGGTCCAATCAATCGACGGGAAAATCTAAATTGAGTTTAAAAAATCTCTAATATGTGTTGGTTCTTCATGTAATGTACAACCAAAATTATTATTGGTCTGAAATTAAACGGAATGGTTCCTTATTCTTTCAAGACTGTTCCTTTTTAAATATATTATTGATGATATTTATCTCCCTGAGTCTTTTATGAACCATGAAGCTCAGTGATCTGACATTCTTTTGCACTTTATTTTTGCCTATTTGTAAGTTATTCATTTCTGATAAGTTGAAGACATACATATAACATTATGCTGACAAACTATACTGACTAAAGGGAACAGTGGCGGAACAAGAATTTGTCAGAAAAGTAATGATTACTCTATTAAGATAGTTCTGTTCCGATTTATACATTCAGTACATATGTTTGTGTACCAGTTTAACAGTTGAGTCCCAGGTCCTGAGTTCAAGCCCCGATTGGTAGGTGCGTAGTACCGATGAGTCCCAAACAAGGACGAAATATCTGTCCATTACTCCACTAACTGATATCAATCCGTGGTTAAACTTTAAAACAAATGCAATCCCTACAAATTAATTCTTGCATACTGTAATACTCATCTACATTTAAGTGAATTCTACCTCCATCCCACCTCAGTAAGTTTCTGAAACTGTCCTTCTGTTTGTAATCTGTTGCTCTCTAAAGCGGACAGAAAACTTTCATACACTGAAATAACGTTATTTATAGTGAACTGAGACAGCTGTTAAAAACAACTAATGTTCAACAAAAATGTCATCTTCTCTTTTCGTCATTGTACATGATCTTTGTTGCATACCGCTAATGATCTGAGAAATGGTAGTTACATAAGACTACATAAGACACTATTTTACTAGTGCCTTACTTGATAGCTAGTATCAAACTTCCTGTTCTACTTAAACTAATTCGACGCATAATTTTCTGATGAATAACAGCCAAATTGTTCACATGTGAGTGTGTGTGCATATGAAATATTTTACAAAGTCAGCTGCTATGGATGTGAAAGAATCTTAATAATAATATTATTATTATTACTAATACCATTTTTCTTTTCGTGTATCTTTCTTGATCCAGTTGACGTAGATCAGACAGGGTATCACATGCGAAAAATGCAAAAACAAGACCACAGACAAGGTGAGTGGAAGACAGAGGGAAAAGGGGAAAAGAGTTCTCGTGATTTTTGCTTTCTAAATGTCGTGTAAAACAAATTTATCAAGATTTCATTTTCAAAAAAAAATTTCTTTTTCTTTTTGTTGGTTGGATCTTTAAAATCTACTGTGAGAATACACTTTGGTATTCTTCATGTCTGTGTTGTTAAAAATAAAACATGAAGCTTTTGTATCTGGTGAATTCAAGGACATTTCTGAATCGTAAAGGAGGGAATATTTCTGTAACAGCTAACTTCTTAAGGTTCTAAACTGTTGCCGCCTTATTGTGAAGGAGTGTGTTTTCAATATTGGTTTTGTAGGGAGTTTGTTTGATTACTTGAAGGATTTTATCATGAGCTGACACCAGTTAGAGAACCGCTGGAAAACCACCAGAGAATACTGGACAGCTGTTTCATCCTAGTTTGGGACTCTTCATTAGTACTCACCAACCACCACAATTCGAACCCAGGATCTTCTGGTTACAAGGGGAGCTCGTAGACCATTAAGCCACTGAGACCCGATCCAATGGCCAGCCCGTGACTCCCAACTTCTGCCAATTCATGACGTAGTGGGACCACTTAGCAATGTCTTCTTCGGTGAGTAAATGCTGTCATCTACAACCTGCTATACCCTACTGGCAGCGCTATGTCGTGAATTGGCCAAAGTTAGAATTCATGGGCTGGCCATTGGATTGGGCCTCAGTGGCTTAATGGTGTACAAGCTAGTTCGCCTTGTAACCAGAAGGTCCTGCGTTCAAACCGTGGCGGTGGGTGAGTACTGATGAAGAGCCCCAAACTAGGCTGGCGAAACAGCTGTCCAGTACTCCCAGCTGGTTTTCCAATGGATCTCCAACTGATGTCGGTAAATGATGAAATCCTCCAACCAATAAAAAAACGCGTTTTTCTGATGATCAGTGTAAAGAGTTAAGATGTTGTGTAATAATGTTCTATATTATCTCAGATTTCGGTATTTGATGCATTTTAGATAAAACAACACAATTTGTCCCTGTGATTTTTACATTTTAGGGAAACACCTTTAAATTTTGCTACATACACATACGAAAGTATCATGAAACAGAAAAAGTGGATACTTTTAAAGTTTCTTCAGGTCAAACAGTAATGAAAAACTGCTTTGTTTCTCACTCTTGGAAAGAATCAAACTAAATGTAACAAAATTGAGTCCGACCATTTCGACTATTCTTTAAGGCAGAAAGGACGATGAATAATGAGATTTTGGAAAAAGAAAGAGAGTTATTACACTGTTCAGGAAATGATTTCTGAAACATGAATTAGAGTTTTATGTGAGATACTTTGATAAAGTATGAAACCAATTTTAATAAATATGCCTTATTAACAAAGAATCCATGGCTATCGGTTTCGTTAGTGCAAAACAGCATTGCTCCCATGAAATTCGGCCTGTTTATAATATTTGACAGTTAACAGTTAAAGGTAACAAGTTGATACATTATTATTATTTCTTTGAGTTTTTAGTGAGACGTAAGACTTCAGAAATTCATCTCCATTTTACTCTGTTTTATTATAGTCTTTCATTTCATTTTCACACGATTATCATGTCAACGTTGGATGCCCAACTCTTCCTTCCTCATTCCGGTTCCACTCAAAGGCGTGCCTAGCGTATGACTTAAGTCAACAGTCTCTTCAACATATGCATATCCACTGAGCAGTAGTCTTTTCTTCGACTCATTGCTAGAGTTCCTTGCTGCTTAACGCTTTTGACCACTTAATTTCCAAGTGTTAGTGAAAGTCTGCAGTAGACTGGATAATGTGACAAACAGCGGGCAATGAGGAAACAGGAATAAAATGGACTCACACAAAAAACTTGGAGAA